CTCTGTTCTTAATTTTGTTATATTAAATGTATTTTTAAGAAATGTGTTAACTTTTTCGAAAAATATCTGTTAGGATTATTGTTTTACGATTAAAGCAATTTAGACAATAAAGTGTTTTATTGAGATACAGAGTTGTATGTTGTATAAATATTTTATTTTCATGGGAGAATTCCTCATTTAAATATGAAAGACGTCAGTATGAGCATTTTGTCAGTAGACTCGTAATCAAAATCAAAATATTTATTGATTTTCGAATATACTGTATATAATACACATTGTTGCAGCTTGTTTCAATCACTCTGTATAACAAATATATTCAATGATACACAATAGTTGCAGTCACAGGCACAATATACAATTCAACGATTTATGAAAAATAGTAATTTCTTTCCTTTTATTTTACAATACTGAAGTTATATATTATTTTAAATTTTGCAGATTTCATCCCAAGTAACACACAAAGTTATAAAATGTTGGTATAATTAATTAAAACGTTACAAAACACACGTAAACGACACAAATAAATTTTTATAACGACGTTTTTGTTAGAATTTGTTGAGTAAGATTTAATTAACAACGTTAATTTATAAGAAACGTATAACTAAATTAAGTTGTTTTAAAATGTACAATATATGTGGTTGTTATAACGTTTCTATAACTTTTGAATTACAACTACTTTTAATAGATACATAGTCACCTAATAGTACCGTTTTAATGCCGTTGTAAACTGTAGTAACTATTAGGTTTATCCTGAAAATTATTATATGGTTAATAAAACTAATACAAACTGCTTAAGTTGATCTTTTGTTTTCCATTATATAATACTATAGAAGTTATACAGTGGTTAAATATGTATATTATTGTATTCCTATAAATTATTATCCTTCTGATGTTAGGAGAAATAACTGCTTTATAAATTTTAGAAGAGAATTATCATGTATCGGAAAAAGAGGTGGTTCTTATAGATGTAAAAAAAAACTATTTAAACTGGACGCATTGAAGAACTTCAAGAAATAAAAAATATTGAGACCATTTCAAACACAGATCCGCAGTACCTACCTATACAATAAAACCATCCGTTGATTTCAACAGTAATATTGGGAATTGTGCTTCTTACAATAATTTCTAAGATAGTATATAAAAAAAAAAAAAAACTAATAAAGACCAAGAAAATATTGCAACACAGAAATTGACATGAAAATAGGGACTAATAACTAAAAGTATGGACAATATCCTTAGATTAAAGAGACCGAAGATGTAACATTGCACACTGCGCATGTTGTCTATTTTAACCCAAAGTAACCCACCAATTGAAAATCATTGTTTGCACGACGCCACCCGAATTGCTCCGATTTTTCCATTCATCGATCACCTCCACCTGAGTTTAATCACCATTGACAGCTGTTTTTTGATTTATTTGTTGGTATTTTAGCAATTTAAAGTGCTCTAGTTAATCAATTTCAAGTTCAAAATGCCACGATGTATCTTGGAAAAAATGTATGTACTTATAATACAAGTACTAATGTTATGAACATATTCGTTTTCAGCGGTAAATATTTATTAACGTTTTGACATAAAGTGCCATGATTCTCTGGGCTGAATACTTCAGATCCGCATTAAGGGGTTTCAAAAAATATTAAGCATCCGAAATCAGATTTCATATTACTTACATGAATTTACAAAAAGATAAAATTTTTAACATTTAATTTAAATAAAAAGTAAATAGGCATTGCTGCTAACGAAATTTTGTATCTAAAACATAGTTTTATAAGAATATTTTCTAAAGGTGATTTTAAGCCCTTTTTGGTAGATAAATAAGAAGTAAAGAATCATAGTTGCTAGCTAAATTTTATTTTTATAAGGTATTTTTATAAGAATATTAGATGAAAATTACAAGGTTCATCTTATTTGCGGTCAAATCGTGACATTTAAATCTTTAGTCTTAAAACAAAGTAAAACGCACCATATGATCTAGTATATGCAAAAAAAATACTAAAGTTTCGGAAGTTGGTCACATTAATAAAATGTTACATTACAAACCCCTAAACAACTCGAACAAAATTTTCGTTTACTAAAAAAATCCAAAATTTAGCAATATTTATTATTTATTATACAATCGAATGCGGTTTCAAAGATAACGAGATCAAAAAATCCGAATTTCTAAATTTTTGAGCTAAACGCTCGGATAAAAGCAAACGACCGATAGGGGTTACAAAAATAATCGATTTATCGATAATTCTGATATTTTTTTATGAAAATCGATTTATCCGCTATTTTTAATAAATTATTTTTGTTTTTTAAGATAATGTATTAATCGATTTTAAAGGAAATACAAAAAAAAGTAGATTTATTCAAAATAATCCATTTTCGTTCAATCGGTTTTTTCATTATTCGATTGAATATAATCGGTTATTTTATATAACCGATATTTTGGTTATTTTTTAAAATTATCGATTTATTGGTTAATCAGCTTTTTAATAATCGATTAATTTTGATTTTTCAAAAATAATCAAGTAGTCGATTTTAAAGGAAATGACAAAAAAATATGTTGTTTGAAAATAATCGATTTATCGAAAATAATCGATTATTTTCAATGATCGATAATTTATTTCAATAATCACTCATCCCTAGCGACCAAATTACTTTTAATAGATTTAAATTTTAAAATGTTATCTGGTTTCAGACATATGCATTCAATTCTCATGTCAGATTGGACAAATTGACAGTTGACAGCTGTCAACGACCTCAAAAACCCAAACTATCAATGTGAAAAGGGATATTTACTTTTATATTCCTCGTTGAACGTGAATTGACAGCTGTCAACGGTCAATTTGTCCAATCTGACATGGGGGCTGAATCCAGTGACCTCAAAAACATATATTAGAATAATTAAAATATGCTTTTGACATCTGTAAATAGTATTGAAAATGAATAGTTTTGCAACGGGTCAGGGGAGATTTGGCAGCTCCATTTTGGCACTTTGTGCCCATGGAGACTTTTGTTCAGGATGACAAAATCTACAACATACCAAAAATTCAGACAATTTGACAGAAACCCAATTTCCATAAGATTATTGCGGGGTCCTTTCCTTTCATTCTACTCAAAATCGATGTACTTTTCAACCCTCTTCGAGGCTTGTATGCGAAAATGGGCCACCTAAATCAGTCACTATCTGATGGTCTATCATCCTCAGATGAGGAAGTAGACCTATATACATCATCAAAAAGTGATAAACCATTGTTCACAAAAGAGAAATGTATTCCTGAAACTATTAACAAGTATAATTTTTCGCAGTCATACGGCCCTACCTTTGAAGTAAATACTGAGAGCCCCATGGATATTTTTAGAAATTTTTTTACTGTTGAACTTATGAATCATGTGATTATAGAGAGTAATAAATATGCATCTCAAAATGGAGTTGGAACTAAATATGGATATTGAAGAACTGAAAGCAGTACTTCGAATTTTAATAATCATGGGATTTCACTCATTACCAACAATAAAAAAGTATGGGTCGTGTGATGAAAATTTTAAAGTTTCAAGGATTGCAAATAAAATAACTCTGAAGCGTTTTTTACACCTTAACGATAACACAACAATGGCAGAACGAAATACTTCACAATTTGACAAACTGTACAAAGTCAGGCATATGCTATCTTACATTTCGGAAAAGTTTTAACAAAATTTTAACCCGTCTAAGTAAATGACAGTAGACGAGAGCATGGTTGGTTTTAAAGGTAGATCATCTTGAAACAATATATACCTATGAAGCCTGTAAAATGTGGGTTTAAGATTTGGGTCCTTGCCGACTGTCAATCTGGATATATGTTGAATTTTAGTGTGTACGAAGAAAAATGTAAGGAAACAGAAGACGGAACTTTGGGAGAAAGAGTAGTTCATCGATTAATAAATAAATATCTCTACAAAGGTTTTACTGCATTTACTTTGATAATTTCTTTAACACTTATACGCTCATTGAACAGTTATTAGCAAATAATACATGTGCATATGGTACCTTCCGCTCTAATAGAAAAAAATATTGATTTTGCATCTTCCGGGGAAATAAGTGAAAGGACCGGGGTAAAAAATGTGTAATAATTATTAGCTCTCTACATGATCCTAGTGTAGCATGCAAGATCAACCGAACAAATAAAAAAGGTGAAAAAGAAGAACTTCAGTGTCCTAAACCTATCGCAGATTACAATGCATATATGGGAGCTGTCGACATTTAGATTTTAAAATTAAGTTTGTTTGTGATAATTTGGAAACGAAACATATCGACTTGAAGTACATTGACTCGAAGTCACAACAAGCAGATATTTTTACTAAAGGTCTAAGTTATGTTTTATTTTCAAAGTTATCATATGAGATACTTTTTAGAGAGGGGGGGGTGTTGAGTGTAAAGCTAAAATACGCCTTCTCTTTTAAAATATGTCATCTGTTATATGCCTAGTTAAGAACTTCCTGTATGATGGTCATTTTGATATAAGATAAGAAAAATATGTGTAAAAGTTTTATCTGAAAACATCCAATAAAATATAAAATAACCACATTGATTATTATTATACGACGATAAGTAGAAGAAGGAAGAACGGTTTTAAACATAAAACATTACAGATTACACCAACTTTTTAGACAAAATATAAGTTTAATATTAAGGTTTACCTAGTTGCCATTAGTGAGATATTTATGAAGTAATGTTATTTTGTAAGAAGTAACTCTATAATGTTTATACCTATTTGTCTCTTCTTTAGATATATAAATAATATATAGATGAAACCAAATTATATCATAACTCTTAACAACGTTTTTATATCCATTTGTAATTACCTAATAACATTAGCTTTTTATAATGTTATAAGTTAGTTATAACTGGAATTATAGCAACTACTGTAAAACGAATACTACTAGGTTGTATATATCCACCAAAAGTCGCACAATAATATATAATAACGGTATAGTCTATTAGAATATATGTAAGTTGTTGTTTTAAGAAAAGTTGTTGCAACATCGGTATAGCCCTTATATAACCTTTTGTGTTACTTGGGATATTATCTGCAGGAATGTAATAAATGTATGATGTGTTTGATGTATTCTGTATCAAAATTAATTTGTGAATTTTGTTATTATTCTAGTAGATTTGCTAAAGCAGACAATTACCAAGCCTGTACGGAATTTTCAAATACATTTTAAATGTTAAAAATAATAAATTCGAATATTAATTTTAAGATATTTTATAAAATCATTACCCTGTATAATAATCGAGACAAGCATGGTACTTTCGGAAAAGGAAAATAAGAAGCTTTTGGACTGATATTTGAAGCCGAAGAAACGTCAGTAGGTACTGAATAAATGTCAATTACTTTCAACATATTAATAGTACAACACCCAAAATAATATACGCTGAAAATGCAATAAATAACTATAAAATTGTGTATAAAACTTTCAGTGGAAAATTATAAGGATTAATCCCAATACATCACAATACTTTTTAAATATTTTCCTCTGTATTTGGTCTTCTATATAATCAATAAAACTCTTAGCTGATTTAAGCCAAATTTGTTCAATCCGTGGTCCTTATTTTAATCGAGTAATTTATCTAGATTCATGCAAAAAAATCCCGTCTAGACTTGGTAAACCTCGACAATATCATATCAATAAAAATTAATAACAGCAAGCTTCAATTTCAATCATCCTAAACCGTTTTTTGAACACAATGATTACTTGTAGAAGATTGAATTGGAGCAATCATAATTAAAATTCTGAATATGACAATTTTAATTTTCAGACGAAGTCGATCTGATGAGCGACGGGCTCCCACGCTATCCTGTACAACGTTCTGTACTAGACGGCTGTGGGAGTTCTTAACTGTCAATGCCATTTGGCCTTCTGAGCGAAAATGTCGGCCCTCAAATTCTGTGCGAAGCAAATACCTAGGATCTAAAAAAAATGTGGATTTTTAATTAATACTGCACGGTAGGGTAAAGTAATTGAGTTTTTATTGAAAATAGTACAGTCTTTTAACAAGAATTATTATTGATTTTTAATTTCAAATGGTAATGTATCTGGAAATTTTAATTTTACATTATTTTTAATTCAGTTTTTTAATGGCAGGAGTATTTTGTGTTTAATTCAAGAAATTGAGTTATCAATTCAAGAGAGCTTAACCTAAACAGGCCTAAAAGCTGTGTGATTATCTTTTTTTCCCGATTTTTTAATATTTCTTTGGCTTGTTTTCATATTTGAGTCATGAGGATGAATTAATTCCTTAATTTCCAAACACTGATAGAATAAATTATTTGGATAATTCCTTAAAGTCCTTTAAATATATCCCAATCGGCTTCTTCCCAAAAACGAACGTCTAAATCATAATTACAGATACATTTATACTGTTATCGAATATAATTCTAGTTAAAAGATTGTTTTACTTTTATTTGCATGTGTGTATAATGACTAATATAAACTTACTTGTTTATAACACTTTTTGTTATGAAAACAGATAAGTTATTTAAAATGCATTTAACAGTATAGCATGCATGGAAAACCTGTCAAACATGTCAAACAAAAAAAAATGTTAGTTTTTAGTGACAGAAATTCGGAAAGTAAAAAAATAGCAAAGAAGGTATCATAAAATAATGATTTTAGAATAACCAGATTGGATTTTATTAAAAGCAATTTAAAATTTTTTAAGCTTCAATAAATTAATTAAAGAAAAAATTGAATATTTTTAGATACTTACATCAATAAGTGAAAATGTTTATGTTTGTCAGTTTTGTCCATTTGAAGTAAAGAGAAAATATAATAGAACACTTACGTGGCAAAACAACACAACAAAAATGCAAGAAGCTATTGAAATCATATTTTTTTCTGTCCAATCCTCTATTGCTTCAAGACAGCCCTGTTCGTTTATTATTTTGGACACATCAAAACTCTGCAATAGAGCAAGTAAAGAACAAAAAGCTCCCAACATACATACAGCACAGAATTGGATCAAGTACTCGATTTTTGCAAAAACTGTTTTCCAAAACGTGCTTAAATTTAGTTTTTATATATATATATATATATATATATATATATATATATATAAAATATATAAAAATATATATATATATATATATATATATATATATATATATATATAGTTAAGTTAAATAACCGTATTTAGTTATACAATTAGACTAATAAAACGTATTTAGTTATATAATTAAGCTAAATAATCTTATTTGGTTATACGTATTATCTAAAATTTCAAATTAACGCGCGCGCGTTATGTAAATGTAAAAAAAGAATAAAAATTATAGAAGAAAAACTGTTGATAAAAAATATTTTTATCATTATGACAAAAATGTAGAAGAAAAAAAAATATAAAGTATAAAAGAATTAGAATGTACGAATGTAGTAGAAAAATGTAGATGAAAAAATGCAAGTAAAAAATATTCTGATGAAAAAATGCAAATAAAAATAAAGTAGACGAAAAAATGTAAATGTTAATGAAAAAAATATATAAAATATTTAAATGAAAAATGTAGATGAAAAAAATATATAAAATATTTAAATGAAAAAATGTAAATATAAAATATAGATGAAAAAAGTAGATGAAAAATGTAGACGAAAAATGTAGAAAAAATAAAATATTTAGATTAAAAGATGTAGTAGAAACTGCAAATTATAAAAATGCAAATAAAAATAATGTAGATGAAAAATTGTAGATGTAAAAAATAAAAAAAAAAATATATTTAGATGAAAAAAATGTTAGATAAAAATAATGTAGATGAAAAATGTAAATGTAAAATATAGATAAAAAATGTAAATGAAAAAATGTAAATAAACAATAATTAGATGAAAAGTGTAGATAAAAGTAACGTAGATGAAAAATGTAAATGTACATAAAAAAATGTAAATGAAAAATGTAGATGAAAACATGTAAATATTAGATTTTTAGATGAAAAAATGTAAATAAACAATATTTAGACGAAAAAATTTAGATAAAAAATGTACATGAAAAAATGTAAAAATATAGATGAAAAAAATGTAAATGAAAAATGTTGACAAAAAAATATCAGATGAAAAATTAAAAATGTAAATGAAAAATGTATATGAAAAAATGTAAATAAACAATAATTAGATGAAAAGTGTAGATAAAAGTAACGTAGATGAAAAATGTAAATGTAGATGAAAACATGTAAATATTAGATTTTTAGATGAAAAAATGTAAATAAACAATATTAGACGAAAACATTTAGATAAAAAATGTACATGAAAAAATGTAAAAATATAGATGAAAAAAATGTAAATGAAAAATGTTGACAAAAAAATATCAGATGAAAAATTAAAAATGTAAATGAAAAATGTATATGAAAAAATGTAAATAAACAATAATTAGATGAAAAGTGTAGATAAAAGTAACGTAGATGAAAAATGTAAATGTACATAAAAAAATGTAAATGAAAAATGTAGATGAAAAAATGTAAATGCAAATATATTAAATAAATATTTAAATGTAAATAAAAAAATGTAGATGAAAAAATATAGATGAAAAAATATAGATGAAAAAAATGCAAATAAATATTTAGATGAAAAAATAAAGATAAACAAATGTACATAAAAAAATGTAGATAAAAATAATGTAGATGAAAAATGTACCTAAATGTAAATGAAAAAAAAAAAACAAAAACAATGTAGATAAAAATGTAGATGAAAAAATATAAATAAACAATATTTAGATGAAAAAATGTAAATAAAAAAAGTAGAAGACAAAATGTAAATAAAAATGTACATGAAAAATGTAAATAAAAAATATAGATAAAAACTGTACATGATAAAATGTACATAAAAAAATGCAAATAAAAAATAATGTAGATGAAAAAAATGTAAATTAAAAGGTTGATGAAAAATTTTAGATGTAAAAAATTCAGATAAAATATATTTAGATGAAAAAATGTAGATAAAAATAATGTAGATGAAAAATGTAAATGTAAAAATATAGATAGAAATTATAGATAAAAAATGTAGATGAAAAAATGTAACTAAACAATAATTAGGTGAAAAGTGTAGATAAAAGTAACGTACATAAAAGAATGTAAACGAAAAAATGTAGATGAAAAAATGTAAACATTAGATATTTAGATGAAAAAATGTAAATAAATAATATTTAGACGAAAACAAGTAGATAAAAAATGTATATGAAAAAATGTAAACATTAGATATTTAGATGAAAAAATGTAAATGAAAAAAATGTAAATAAATAATATTTAGACGAAAAAAAGTAGCTAAAAAATGTACATGAAAAAATGTAAATAAAAAAAATATAGATGAAAAAAATGTAAATGACAAATGAAGATAAAAAAATAACGTAGATGAAAAAATAAAAATGTAAATGAAAAATGTAGATGAAAAAATGTAAATAAAAAAAATGTAAATATTAAATAATACTTAAATGAAAAAATGTGGATGAAAAAATTTAGATGAAAAGAATGCAAATAAAAAATATTTGGATGAAAAAATTTAGATGAAAAATGTAGATGAAAAATGTAGATGAAAAAATGTAGAAGTAAAATGTACCTAACTGTAAATGAAAAAAAAAAAAATGTAGATGAAAAAAATGTAAATAATCTATATTTAGATGAATAAATGTAACTAAAAAAATGTACATGAAAAATGTAGGTAAAAAAATGTAAATATTAGATACTTAGATGAAAAAAATGTAAATAAAAAAATATAGATAAAAAATGTACAAGAAAAATGTAGATAAAATCAACTTGGATGAAAAAATAAAAATGTAAATGAAAATTGCAAATGAACAAATGTTAATGCCAATGAAAAAATGTTAATGCAAATGAAAAAAATGTAGATTAAAAAATGTAGATGAAAAAAATGTAGACGAAAAAAATTTAGATGAAAAAAAATGTAGATGAAAAAAAATGTAAATATTAAATATTTAGAAGAAAAAAGTAGATAAAAATAATGTAGATGATAAAACGTAAATGAAGATAAAAAAATGTAGATGAAAAAAATGTTAATATTGAATATTAAAATAAAAAAATGTAAATAAACAATATTTAGATGAAAAAATGTAAATAAACAATATTTAAATGAAAAAATGTAGATAAAAAAATGTAGAAGAAAAAACGTAAATAAAAAAATTTAGGTGAAAAAATGTATATGAAAAAATGTATATAAAAAATATTTATATGAAAAAATGTAGAGGAAAAAATGTAACTGAAAAATGTAGATAAAAAAAATGTATACATTAAATATTTAAGGTGATTACAGCACTCCTTATAACAAGGCATTACGAGCTCAAATTTCGGGATTATATTAAGAATAGTGCTGTTGAGGAATGCATTTATTTTCATTATATTTCAAAATTTAAAGCCCATCGATATTTTGTTTCTCGGAAACTGAAACAATTTGAAACTTTAAAATATACGCATATCTAGATAATATTACCTAATTTATTTTGCCAAAATTTTAATTTTTCAACATAATTACTTTTTGAAAATTATAAGGGGTGCTGTATTCACCTTAAATGAAAGAAATGTAGATAAAATATGTAAATAAACAATATTTAGATGACAAAATATACATGAAAAAAATGTATAAAAGAACAAACATAAGTGAAAATAATGTATTTAAATAAAAAGAATGTAGAAAAAAAAATTTTGATGAAAAAAAAAAAAATAAAGATTCTGGATCCAAATTGGCTGGGTAAAAGGATATTTATTTGATAGAACAATTTGTGCAAAAAAGTAGTACTGATCCCTAGAAAAAACAAGTCGATTGTAACAATATGTAAGGGGGTGCAAATAATAACATCAATTAGAGTTAACTTTCCACGAAATAGACTTTGTTTGGAAGTACCTGTAGTACCATAGTTCCGACTTTAACAGCAGCCACTGGAACTAAGTTACTTTCGATCCATTCCTCGCCGGACCTTAGACACCCCCGTTCGAAAATGTGCCTTTCTCCTGGCTGCATACGTACAACACCAAATTTTATCAAATTTGTCGAGCTAAGTTTTCATTAAAAAACGAACTCAGCAAGCTGATAATATAATAATAATGATGATTATTATTTATTCGTATTAAACAAACATAAATTATTATATAATTATATTAAATTATTCCTAATGATAAAAAACAAGAAAAAAAGACCTGACTATAGTGTATATCCTAATAAAAAGTACGTATAGCACCTTTATTTGATACTGTCTCAACTTTCGCAATCGTAATATAAACATTTAAAACAAATGAGTAATCTTTAAGATCAGTAGTCCGACCCTGGTTTCTACCGCGCCATACGGTTCAATGTTCAATGTTATTATAAGTGTATAATTTTATTGTCTTCTACAATAAAAATCCAGAAGGTTTTTTCAAGTTACATATTAAATAATAGTGGATTTCAAGTGCTTGAAGGCTTTCTTTCTACACAAAATAGTTAAAAGTTGACTATCCGTAATTGTAAGGTGGAGAAGGGCGGGTTGTGTCCTACATCACCTTGGCTTCACTAGGCCCATTATACATCTTCCACGGGCATATATGAACTGCCTCTCAGCCCGTTAAAAAAACCTGCTGATCGGTAAGTCACCGAGAGATGTCGAAGGACTCTCGTTAAAGTCCTGCAAGTTAATAGCGTCGCCGGAAGGTGTCTCTAGATGCCACCATTATTTGATGGATTACTACCACACTGATGGTAAATACTTGGGTGGAGATTATTCTGTCCGCCCACTCCACAGGACGCCTAAGTCAACTAATTTTGACTTCTTATCAAAATCGTCAAGTACAACTAATTTTAGCATTTTTGGTGCTAAGGGACCATTAACCTTTTGTGGAAATCGTAAGTAATTTTCCCTTGTGGAGTGAGTTATTTCTTACGTTTAGTGTAGATTAATGATTCCACATTACGAGCTTTCTACATCTACCTGAAGAGTCC